AGCTGAGTGAAAGAAAATATTTCTAAGCCTAAAATAAAACCTAATATTACACCTCTTTGTGTATTTGTTAATTTTACATATGTTTGTCATGACAGTATGTTTGTAAATATCTAGAAAAATCTCGTCTTTCGTTGATAATTTCGATTGTTTTTTTGGAATGTCGATCCCCGTTGGTTTCTCCATACTGAGTTTAGGAAGGGCGTCGATCAACGCCGTGACAATCAGCCGAGAGAAGACAAACATTGACCGTAATTCATGGGGATCATGTCCGTAATTTAAATATGGTTCTATGACCCAGGTCGTGCTCCGATCAGGTGACTCTCAGCCAATCAATGATGTTGTAACAAAGCATATTTGACGCTTATTGAAGGGTCGTCGTACAATCCAATCACCGGCGTCGATTCACATGGTTTTTTGTGCTGTGACAGGCTTCAAAATTATTCGCTGAAAAACATATATTTTGACAAACTGATGGAATTTGACCTTAGTTCAAAAAGAAAATACTAGGCTAAGATACATTAGAGTTCACGCGAATCAGTTTTCTCTGCAAGTTGTGAAATAAAGTAAACCAGAGTAGCGTCGATGATTTTCTGCCCTGAAGGACTTCCGTGTGAATCCTGAGTTTTGAATTGTTCATCGACTGGCCACCAAATAGTTATGGCTACAACTAAATTTGACACGTTTTTTTTCTTTTAAGCCCAATAAATTATTCATACATGTCAAGCTCTGTTCGATTTTTTCAGGGCATGTGGCCGTTTTTAGTCGAAAATATTTTTTGTGGGAACACTTTTGTGGGACGTATACGGTATAGACCGAGCTCATTCCATGATCGTGACTTAATTTTAAAAATGTAATGTCAAATTTTACCAGACGTGGACCGATGTGGATTCGGTATCGTTATTTTTGGAATTAATCACTAACATTTCCTCGTTTCTTTTGCTCTGTCAAAAGGAGTTACCTAGGATTTTTTCACGTAACTGTCTTCATTAAAAAAAAAAAAAAAAAAAAAAAAATATTACATCTAGAACAAGCACCCAAAACATGTAACAAGAGGTCCCAGTTCAGTTGCTTTCACGATACAAGTGTCATACAACT